CCAGAGGTTCTAGAAGGTTCCAGACAATGTGCACATGACAGCCTAGCATCAGAGAGCCAGGGAACACCAGGATATTCCAAGGAGACAGGAGGAGAACATGCCGGAAACCCACGGAATGTTGCGGAACATTGCGGAATATTGTGGAAACCACTGGAATACTCAGTGTTCCCCTTCAAGAATTCCCTGGAAACCATTCAGAACTCCTGGGAAACATCAAGAATATGTGGGGAAGGTTCTTAGAATGTTCTGGAAATCCCTGACAGGCTCAGGAAAAGGATGGATAAAGGAGAAGGAAAGGACTAGGAATGAAGGGAAAGTAGGAGAATAAGGGAGAATATTCTGGACATGGATTAGTCGTACTACAGACGTGCTTTGTAATGTACCATTTAGGATTCCCGCGCCCCTTGGCTCCAGGTATAAATACTGGGCTGAGGAAGGGGATCCGAAGCAAGCATTCATTCTCAGAATCTTCCTAAAGTGACCCACCCACACTTTAGTATCCCCACCACCACTTCACCACTCTCTTCACCACTCCCCCCACCACCACAACCCACCATCACACCCAGCCGCCAGGCTAGATTAGTTGGGGTTCATCTGGAACCTTCAGTCAACTACTAGCACCCACGCCACTCAGTCAGATCAGTTGGGGTTCACTGGAACCTTCCGACAACTGCTGACCCTCGCACTCGCACCCACGGACAGCCAGAAGCCATCAGATTAGTTGAGGTTTACCGAAACCTTGCGACAACTACTGGTGCCACGAGAACACAGGAGACGCACGCACGCAGGACAGGAACTTGTCAGGATAGTTGGGCTCCAGCCGGGAGTGAAGAAGACACGCACACGAGAACACTGAAGCTGCCAGACTAGTTGGGGTTCACCGGAACTTTACGACAACTACTGGTACGAAGACAGAAACACGACACGTCACTCAACACGCCACCGTAGGGCACGTTGACACGGGGTCCACAGCAGACACGTCACTTGACACGCCACTCAGGGTGTGTTTAATACGGGGTCTGGAGCCGGAACAGACACGTCACTTGACGCACCACTCAGGGTGTGTTTAATACGGGGTCTAGAGCCAGGAAGACACGTCACTTGACATACCACAGGGTGTGTTTAATACGGGGTCTAGAAGACAGGCACTCGCAGCCTTACGCAGCCAGCACGCAACACTCCCAGCCAGTATAGGGGAGACTCTGCCCAGATACTCAGGGCAACCACCATCCGAGACTTCCGCATAGGTCTCAGTACACCACAATCACCCACACACCACCACACAAGCAGTTATTCAAGGATCATAGCCCGCCCGGCTTAGTCACGAACTTGGCGAAGCCACTGTTGGAAAAGCAGGAAACCCCACACGCTTTGCGGCAGCATCAGGGAATCAACATCGCCCAACCCCTCACCCCTTTTCACCTATCAATCATCCAATTCCCGGATAGCATACGACAGCGTGCCCGCATCCGACACTTGCTTCAGCAAGTCGAGAGGAACTCGGCGTTGCAGGGTGTCCAGGGTATCCGTGTCCTCGCAGACGCGTGGCGGAACCCGGACAAGGCCCCCTACCTGCCGACCATCCTGCACCCGGCGGCGTACACCCCTCCAGGCATGGAGTTCGCGGATACCTCGCATCCGCCGCCTCCCACTGGACGCCGTCCAGGCATCCCGCCGAACGTCATGAAGACGACTCGACCGTTGCAAGATCTCAACGGGCCTCGTCGGCAGCAGCCGCGCACCACCGACCCACCGGAGGCTCACCACGAATGGTGGAGGTCCTATCAGGACCGCATCCCGGTGTGGATGGAGCGCGCGCAGGATGGCGGACCGGCTCTGGTCTCAGCGCAGTTCTTTGTGTACGCGCGGAACCCGATTGCTCGGAACCGCGGAGTACCGGAGCGGGCACGCTGGGTCCAGCTGGCCACTGCACTGTTTTTGGTGCCGGGACTGTATTGGCACATTCTACAGCACTGGCAGCTGCAGCCCCAAGGCCCGTACACTCATGCGTACTACACGGGGTCGCTCGACGACGACGACCTAACCGTCTTCCATAAGGCGCACTGGTACGCTTCCCGGGGACTCACGGTCGCCGTCGCCGACCTGTTCCAACGTCCGGTGCACCGCGCTCGTGCTCAGCAGGCGGGTTTGGACGCCAACACCAATGTCCTGGCGTTCCCTGGGGTCGTCTCGGCGACGAGCGCAGGCCCTGTGCCGCCCATAGCATCGCTGGGCATGCGCGGCTTGGCGGTCAACCCCGCACTCGCCTTCTTGCCAGCTGCACCTGTCACCGTGCCTGCCGTCGCACCTGCGCCCGCACCCACTACGACACCCGCACCCGCTCCCGCACCCGCACCTGCACCATCAACCGCACCGACCCCGGTGCCAAACCCCGCCGCGCCCATTCAGATGGACGTCGACCAATCGGCTCACACGGTCGACAACATCGACCACGACGCGGCGCGACAAGAGCCTGACGGGGAGACAGCAACCCCGGAGGGTGGCAACCCCACGGAGCAGATGGACGAAGAGTCCTGAAGCCCCATATACCCGGACGAATGCGTCCATGCCCATCCGTACCGCCTGGTACCTTCATCCACCCAGACGTCGCACCAGCGTCATGGTGTATATAACGGTGCAGGACGCAGTAGCGTCCACCCTTTCCCGCGTACACTTCGCGAAGCACCGCTCGGACGGCATGCCCCCGTCGCGAGTCAGTACTCTGGGCATGGACGACGCTCGTCCTTCTAGGGTGTCGAATGCGACGCGCCTAGTGTACATATAAAAGCGGCCTCATCGCCGCACCCTTGTATTATAGGGCCTCTGCAAGTGCAGCGCAGAGGACCCGTGTATTATACTGTGCTACCGCCACTCCGAGTTGTGGCCCTTCCTCTTTGTATATTAACTTTGAGACCCCACCACGGGTCTAGGGGGGGAGAGTGTAAGAACCCGTCAGTTCTATCATAACCAGACCTTGCTAGGTCGTGCGCGGAGGACGACTAACCGTCATCGAGTAAAGGAGACCGATGTCTCCGAGGTTCTCGGAGACCCAGGGCGCATAGGCGCCCGTAGATTAGATGTGTTACGTCATGTACTTTACGTAAGTGTACGACGCCCCAAGGTTCGGGCCTTGGGCGTCTGGTGGGGTTGACTTCTACCCAACCCCACCATCCTACGAGTACGCCGAGCAATACAGCCCGGTACAGAGTACTTGCGGGATACCGGGGACCGGTAGAGGTCACGTATACTTACACAATGGATGATCTGGCTGTTTGGTGTTTCTGAAAGCTGTACTATAGGTATTTCTGAGAATACACTGCTGAAATAGTATATATAGCTCATTACATTGAGAGTGCCATATCAACCAGCACCTGCTGGCTGTAAACTTCAGTCTCCACAACACAACTTTCCACTGCCTATATGGATCTGGAGGACTGGCAAAAGAACATCCACAACTCCCCCTCCTCTTCCTCAATTGCTCCCCCTAACAACAATGAGCCTCTGTCCAACAAGGTGCTGATGCCTGTTGGCAACTACCACAGCTTCCACCACATGAATACCCTTGACCACCATTGCTCTAGACATGGCCGACATGCCATTGGTGCTGACCATGACATGGAGATGTGGAGTGCCAGGTAAGTCATTCCAACCTGCTCTTGGTTCATTCAACTGATGGCTTGACCTTCATCAATTTGGACTCATCCCTCCCAGCTGACCTCAGAGAACAGATGAAGAATGAAGTCATCACTCATAAACATTGAGGGCAAGATCTCAAATGTTGACGTGTCCGTGGGGTTGATGCAGGGCTCTGTCAGTGTTATGCAGACTTCTATGGCAAACATGGAAAGCACCCTTCAGGGTGTCCAGGCCTCCCTTGTCCAGATGTAAACATCCTGGAACAGCATTGATGCAAACTTCTCAGCAATTCTGCAGACAGACATTTCAATTTGCAATGTCATTGTCAGCCCGCATGGGTCCATAGTGTCTACAAAATTGCCATTGGATATGATCTCTCTTATATTGATGGCAATCCTCCAGTGGTATGTCTTCTGCTTTCTGCTCTGGCATGGCAAGAACAATACTAAATCCCACATAGTGGCACCCTGTCCCTCATCCCAACTCAAGCAGATGGGGCTATGGGAGCTGCCTCTGTGGCACCCACTACTGGGCCTGCTGTGATGTCCATCTCCAGGCTTGCTCTAGGCCCCCTCAGTGGGCATTCTCCTGTCGCTGGGTCTTCTGCCTGAGCACCCCAGCCCTCCCCTCAGCAGTACCACTAGAGTTCCATTCTTGTGGAAGGCACGTCGTGTGATAGGGTCAACAATTCCTGATCAGATGTTTGTATAAATATGGTTGCACATACCCCAGAATTCATGTATTATTCACTAAATGTTCCTGAATGATGGAGACTGAAGTTGTGGGGTCCAGCATGAGCGACAGTGTTAGGAGCGTGCTGAGCAGAAGTCCGAAGGTCTGAAAATGTGGAGGTTCGAAAACCCAAAAACACGGGAGTACGAATTCTGGGGGTACGTAGGTTCGGGGGTTAACGAATGACAACTCAGCGGGAGGACTTCGGCGAGGCTATTAGCAATGCCCTGGGACTTGTTCCATTCATCCTTAATTTCGGAGGTTCAGAGGTTCGGAGGTTGACAAGTAGTTGGATTGAAGGTAGTGAAGGGGAGGTATGTAAGGTAACAAACAAGATGGAAGAGAATATGGTAAACAAGATATTCGAACTGAGTAACTACGGTATTCCAGCTCAGTATAAGTAGTATGTAAGCTTATTGTCTAGCCGAGACAATAGGGAAGTACGGAAATGGAGTTCCAGAGCAGAAGACAATAAACCTATTGTTATGGCGCTAACAAAAGAGAATGACGCAATATGAGACATGTGAAATACAAACGGAGGTTCGGGAGTTCGGGAGTTGAAGGACCAGAGGTACAGCCAGAGTTCTAGGAGTTTGGTGTTACAACGGTCCGGGCGTCTCGGACATGGACTTTGATCGCACCTCACCTATGCCTCACCTACGCCTCATGTTACTGATGTGGATGGACTACACGCGGATACGGTACAGCTACGGTGCGGACACCATGAGGCAGCGCCTCATTGTTACGGTCCCGTAGGTAGCAGGCTTGCCTCCCCTAGTACGCACCGTTTCAGCATGGCTTCTATGTATATTAGGACCCCTGGAGAGCTGAGGATGGTCCTCAGCTCGACCTGGTTATCTATCACCTTCACCCCTGAACTCGAGTCTCCTCTCCTGCCTGCTAGGCCCTTGCACCTGAACGCTACCACGACCCTCGAAGGTGTCGTCTTAACATAAGGTCGAGCTCGCCTACTCGACAGTCGATCTGCCTAGATCCAGACAATCTAGCCTGAACCATCGAACGACCCGGAGCCGCTACCTCTGACCGACGGTAGCGCAGAAGAACCCGACAACGGAACCCCTCCCAGCCCAAGGACCAAAGTGGTCCTTCAACCCGAACACCGGACTAGTCTATTACGACAATAGACTCATTGTCCCGAAGAACCCTGACAGCTGGGGATTACGCGTCAGACATCCAAGCGGAAGCTACCCTTGGAGACTTCAGAGCAACGTACTCTGACTACGACGAACGATACCGGAACGACCACTGGAC